GTTCTTGAATCTGATCAAAGTCATATTCTAAAGGAATCGTACACATTTTGATAACACTTTGAATGGCAATTTAAAGCTATTTGCAGCGATGAGTCGGGAACTTGAATGCTACACGTTTAAAACGAGTAGCTAGAATTTTTAATAGAAAACGATTTCCTTTGAATGGGGTTATTGTTCTTGGAGTTATGGTAATCTATGTCGAACTGAACAAAATATTTATAATCAAGCAATGATTCAAGCAAGACACTGAGCTTCCAATCTTGTATTTGCATTGAAAGTGCTGGAATAAACTCGAAAAGAAAGAAAAGCAAATAAAACAATGAATACGATTTTGAATCTTTATTGAATCAGCAGGGTAAAACCAAAAGAAACATCAAGTCTGAACATAAATTCATTTTTCGTTCAGTTTGTTGTATGAGTTCTATTGAATGAACAAATCTATTGGCTTTCCTAAATTGTACTTAAGAGAAAAGGTTAATGAAAAAAGCGAACAAAGAAATCAAGTTTCAATCCCAATGAAATGTCTATAGAATTGGAAATAAAGAAATAATTCAAGTGGGATGGAACGGCTCAATTGCCCGTAGCATCATTTTTGCGAGTGGTGAAAGCGTTTCATGTGACATTTGGCATGATATTTTTGTGAAAAACGTTTTTCGCACCATTTGCAGCTGAATGGCTTTTCACCTGTATGATGGACTCGGATGTGATTGCGTAAATTGGAATTTTGCAGCTTGAACACCTTGCACACGTAACACTGATGTTGACGACGACCGCAGATCTTCTCATGCGCTGTTTTATCACCTTCTGTTGAAAATCCACGACCACACTTGATGCATCCAAATGGAAACTGATCGCGATGCTGTGCCAAATGTCGATTGAGTGTACACTTCTGGGTGAATCGTTTTCTACAGACTTCGCATTGAAATTGAAGTTCACCGGTGTGTTTTGCTTGCATATGAAGTTTGAGACTGCATTTGATGAAACATTTGAATTCGCAGAGATAGCATTCGAAACGACGTCGCTTGCAGCGTTTCTCGTGTAATTGTTTTGCCTCTTCTCCGGCAAATCGATGACCACATTTCAAACAAGAATGAGGCAGCTTATCGGCGTGAGTTCGCACGTGACAATGCAAGCTATTTTTGTGTGTAAATGTCTTGAAACAAACGGAACATTCAAATGGTTTGCTTCCACTGTGGATTTGTGGGCTTCGTCAATGGGCTGGAGCTCAGATGTAGATGAACCTAATGCTCATGACGGTCAAGACAATGAACAAAGGGATGGATCAGAGGCCGGTCACAGACGTTTCAATGCGAATGGTAAAGGAAAGAAACACGATGGATCGAGAAAGCAAAACAGACGGAAGATTCCGAGGAATAAGGCGGCGAAGAAACGAAAGGAGCACAAGTGTCATGTGTGTGGTTATGTTACATCGCATGAAGGTCATCTCAATGTACACATTCGTATTCACACAGGTGAAAGTCCATACAAATGTGATCAATGTTCGAAAAGCTTCACACTCAACTGTAATTTAAATCGGCACAAGCGAATCCACAGTGGAAGCAAACCATTTGAATGTTCCGTTTGTTTCAAAACATTTTCCCAAAAAAATGCTTTGAATATTCACTTGCGAACTCACACTGATGAGCTGGCTCATTCTTGTTCGAAATGTGGTCATCGATTACCCGGAGAAGAGGCCAAACAACTACACGAGAAGAGCTGCAAGCGACGTCGATACGAATGCTATCTCTGCGAATTCAAATGTTTTGTCAAAGGCAGTCTCAAACGTCATATGCAAGCAAAACACACCGGTGAACATCAATTTCAATGCGAATTCTGTAGAAAACGATTCGTTGAGAAGTGTAAACTCAATCAACATTTGGCACAGCATCGCGAGCAGTTTCCCTTTGGATGCATCAAGTGTGGTCGAGGATTTTCAACAGAAGGCGATAAAACAGCACATGAGAAGATCTGCGGTCGTCGTCAACATCAGTGTTACGTGTGCAAGGTGTTTAAGCTGCAAAATCCCGCCATCACATGCAAGTCCACCATACAGGTGAAAAGCCCTTCCGTTGCAAGTGGTGTAGTGTAAGTTTTGCAAACCAAAGCAACCGCAACAAACATATGAAGACATGTCATCTTTTGAGGAAATAAGAAAGTTCCATCATCTGCTGCGGTCATCATTCGATTCAACGCTACATCATAAGGAAAATAACAAATACCGAACGATTGGCTTAATTGAGCGATTGTTTCTTACTTTGTTTGAAATTTTCAGAAATATACCGAATTTAATTGAAATTCTTCATATTTTCATCTAAACTTTCATCTTTCAGATAAAAAGTCAAATTGAATAGAACTTTGAATTTAAACTTCCTTTTTTGAAACCTCACTGTTGGTCAAAGGCAATATATTTAAATAGATGGAATTTCATACAAGGAAATCTTGTGCTCTGAACTTTTTTGTAAAAATATTTTCGGACTTGATAAAGTTGTTAACGACTGCAACAGTGGTAGAGCAAGTGGAATAAATCACGTCTGAATTAGTTGGAATGTAGACTGTTTATAAGAGAGTTTGGAACAATTACTTCATGCAATCATCCATCGTGGATTTTCCTTTAAGAAATCATTTTTCTTAAGCTTCTAATCAAAACTTTGCTTTAAAAAATGTTTAATTCTCCCACAACAAGCTTTTCTACACCCATCTGTGTGATGAAACTATTTTCATATATACTGATACGCTGAGACTGTGATAAATCGTAATCTTTACAGAAATTCGTTCAGAATTATGAATAAGCAATGAATTATCGCATTTGGATTGGAATGCGTGTGTGACTTTTAAAAATTGGATTTTTTTCGAAGAATAAACGAATTTCATGATTTTTTGTAGACTGAAATATGAACGATTTTTTTAACGAACAGTACATTTTTCGATATGTCACAAAATTATCAATTTAAAATTATTCATAATTAAAGTAAATTCAATAAGTATTCATGATTCATATTCTCTTGCGTCAATTGTACCAAAAACTCGATAAATTTTATCAGTTTTGGGAATTTTGCGATCACCCCATTATTCTTGAAAACGCGAAGTGAATAACTGTAATAAATCACACTTCAATCACAGTTCCATTGCGTAAAGCTTAAGAAGCGAGCACATTTGTGGCAATCTCCAAATGCTCCTTCAAAATGAGGTGCCTAATAGTTATACTCGTGTTTTTTGTGATATTTTGTGAACCAAATGATTTCAATTGTGGTTTCATCGATGATAAAATGGATTCCCTTGAATTGTACTATACGAGTTTTACTGGAACTGTGCCTGTGAACTGTACATCGTCATTTTTACCGACCATAACAAAAGTGAAACATTTGAAAATTCGTGGATATTTCGTGGATGAGATCGGTGGCGTGCAAAGTACGACGCGAACGACGCAATTGCGTCGGGCGGCACTTGCCGTGGGGCGGCAAAATTGCGAGCGAAGGGAGAAAAAATTTTGTCGCGAAATTTATGGAATTGTGCCGCTTCCCGTGGAGAATTGCGAGCGAAGCGAGCAAAAAAATTATGTTGTAATTCTAAGACGGCAATATTTAGCTGAGGGCGGCAATATTGAGAACTTATTCGATCATTTCATCAACAAATACGTTGCTTGTTTGATGTTCCTTGAATTTAACGAACGTTGAGTTCGTAATATATTTTTTGAGTGATCAGCAAAAAATGTACACAAAAAACTCACAAGATTATGTCTTTTTAAGTAAACGTCTTTTTAAAATTAAAGTTATGTTTATGTTTATCATTCAACCAATAACAATCGATTCAGACCATGGGAATTATTTAGAAATATTTTGCTATAGCACTCATTTTGCTTTCTAGGAAATTTTAATACAGTATAATTCCATATAACATAAATAACGCCAATGCGTTGACGGACAGTTAGTTTACACAAAATTTATCATTATTGTACATCGCGTCACCGCAATCAGTATACGAAATGAATCGAGATGCCGCATGCATAAATATGAACGCGATGTATAAATATATTCTAACCGCTGAAATATGCACTTTGCTTAAAATCGAACGAAATTTCACTTTATTGTTGAGGGATATTTCATTCTGTTTTGATTTGTCACTTGAACAAGTTCTTTTGAATTCAATTAAAAATTCACGTCGATCGCGAACATGAAACGAACAAAAGAAAGTGGTAGTAGTTATCGCAAGAAAAAAGAAAAACGTGATAAGGAAAATGCTAAGCAAAAAGGAGCCATGGACAAATTTGTTAATCCTCAGCCAGACACGGATTCATTATCCACGGAAAATGAAAGTGAACCGATGGAAACAGAGTCACACGGATCAAGTGCTAATGAACTGGAATAAAGTGATAACGAAGCCGATAAAAGCGATAGTGAAAATGAAAGTCAAAATGTTGAATGTGAAAATTCAAGTATGGTTCAAAGTGACGACGAACTGGAATACGGAACTGAAAATCCAATTGAGTCAACCGTTCATGATCCGTTTTCGTGGCCAGATGTTTTGCCTGATTCTTTTCTCGAAAAAATTGTATCTGGCTAGGAAAATAGGCCGGTTCAACTTTATTTGTAATCTGGTTGTTTGGCACAATATTTTATCGAGAATCAATGTTATTTCCAAAATGTTGCAATCTCAGTCCCTCGATATTGCTCGCTGCTTGGAATTGATCGCAAATTTGACAAACACTTTCAATGAATTACGACAAAACGAAGGCGATGATAACGTCATCGATGAATGGTTTGAAACAGCAAAACAAATCCGAAATAAATTAAATTTTGAACCAACTGCACTCGATTACATGGCAATTCAAGAACGGCTAGCCCAACGTGCCGAAATGGATGAATTGGAAGGGGATAATATAGCTGAATTCAAAGCATCTTACGTTTATCCCATTCTAGAGGTAGCTTTGATCAAGTTAGAAGATCGTTTCAAACATTTAAATGAAGT